ATCGCCTTGCGCTGCCACCACCAGACCAGTAACACTGAGCAATGATCGAGGTCTGGATCGATCATGCTAATCCATAAACCTTGGGGCTTGATCCCCACTAGTAATATATATACTTTGATTTACGTTAAGGGTGGAATTAATTAACAATCAAAGGGAATAATGAATTCTGATTCGGTGTTAGAATCGGCGCCCAACTCAACTCGGCCTCTCCGGCTACCCACGTGGCACGGGCCAATACACATAAATTTACAAAAATGGAAATTAATAAAAAAGACAGCTTAATAGCTAAATGGTTTATTCAAAAACTAAACAAAATCTAAAAATCAAAACACTCCCTAAACTTATCACACCCTGACATGAGAAGCAATGAGTTGACCTATTCCCTATAACAACTCTGAGCGACTCTACCTTGTTTGCGACCAGCGGTGGACTCCTGGTCTTGGGGGAGAGGTGGAGTGGACACCTTCCCTTTGTTGCTCCGGATCCCACACTGTTTACCACATGCTCCTCTACCCAGACGCCAGAGCAGCGTATTCTTCCGCCTAGTTCACCAAGTTGCTAGCAAGGCTTAAGTTGAACAACTCATCTCTGTTGCACTGACTGACCCAGATTGGTTGAATTATTTTAACTGAAGTTAATTACACAAGCATCTTAGGGAAGGGCTATTCCCGATTACAAAATGGCTATTTGACCTTTGAGAAATAGTGGACGTGGAAACTCTAATGACCTGTGACCTCAGGTCACTCCGCCGCAAAGTCTAGTCCCGACTCGTGACGTCACTGATGGTGACTTAACTCATTATTCTAACAATCAGGATACTCTCGATACTATAAACAGGGATATTATACAATTTGGATGAAGACTAATTTCTCTAAATTACTGAATAATGTGGAATAATTCCTTATACGAAATTGTGAACAAAGGCGGCAGTTACTTTCACCGCCAATCCCCCCCCCCCCCCTGGGATGCGACCATGTGCTTGGGGTCAGGTCCCTACCCGTGGTTTCTCGAACATTCTGGGTCATGCCTACAACAGCTAGTTTGTTACACCAGGGCGGGGGAGCGGTTGACTTCGGGGGCCTCGGGCCCTGTTGGACCCTGCCTGGGTTTTTGTACCCTCGGAGCGGGGCTTCATCCTACAAGGAGAGGGGTTCTCTTTTGCTCCCTCCTCGTAGGAATTGGATTTGGCGTTTACCCCTCCCCGGGTTTGGTTCCGTGATCCCATTGGTTCCTCGGTCCCTTCTGGAGGTTTTCGGCTTCCCGGGTCCTGTCACATTTGGTGTGGGAAGCCCTTGCGGCTTACCTTCTGCATGACCAGATTTGGGCTTTTGTGATGGATCTGAGTTCCTTCGTGTATGTATCTTCGTATCCGTACTGGGTTCGCTATGAAGTTCCGTTGTCGTCCTGGTTAGCACACTGCCCACTCTTCTCACTGGAGGCTTGCCATATTTTCTGTTGTTCCCGCGCGCTTGAGTGGAGGGAGGCTCAGATGGAAGGCTCAGATCCCTGCACTCTGTCAAGTCATCTCATAGTGGGTTCGCTTGGGCATGGTCTAAATGACCTCGTCTCTATGGTGGGTTTCCCACCCGTTTCCGTTCCCGAAACGGGACTGCACAAACCTCCAGTTCATTCTGTATTTGTCCTGTCTGAACCTGTGGGTTTATTGCCCCTTCTTTCGGATGACTACTCTGTCTCAGGTCCGTCTTCTGTTGGAGCCGGGCGCTTGAATGGTGTGTCTGGACCTCAAGGATGCATATTGGCATGTCCCGATTCATCCGAGGTTTAGGGACTGGCTCGGTTTTGTTATGGGGCATCAAAGTTACAGCTTTCATTGATTTCCATTCGGTTGGAATCTGGCGCCTCGTGTTTTCACATTCCTTACTCGGGTCGTGGTGGCCTGCCTGCGTCTCTTAGGTGTTTGGGTTCTGGCCTAACTCGATGACTGGCTGGTTTGGGCTCCTAGCCAGTCCGTGTGTCTGCTCACCAGGGATTTGGTTCTTTCCCAGCTCACCGGGTTCGGGTTCCTGGTGAACTGGCGGAAGTCTCATCTGGTTCCCTCTCAGGTTCGGTCTTAGCTGGGTCTTGTGTAGATGCTCGGACTACTTCCTTGTCTTTTCCTCTGGTGGCTTTACTTCGCCTGCATTCCCGCCTTCGTCTGTTTCTGAGGGACTCCTGGGTCACGTGGCAGTTGCTCGAGGGTTTGAGCGGGAGCCTGAACTTTGCCATGATGGTCTACCTGCCGGGTCAGGTGTGGCTTCGTCGGCTGTTCTGGTTCCTTCGGGGACGACCCTTCTGCAGTTCGGCCTTCGGGGGCATTGCACCGGCTTCCTCTTCAGGTTTTTCAGAGTTCAGTGCCTTGGCACCTCCCGAGCTCTCACTCGATGTGTTCACGGATGTGTCGTCTATTGGCTGGGGCTTTGTGACCAGTGCTCATCAGGCCGGTCAGGAATGGTGGGGTCCGTCCTCCCGTCGGGCTCACAGCACGGTGCAGGAGTTTGCGGCTGTGTGGATGACATTCCGGAGGATTCATGTCACTCGCGGTTCGACGATCCAGTTCCATTCAGACTGTTCCCCAGTGGTTCATTGTCTGAACCGAGGGGGTTCCACATGGTCCCTGGCACTTTGGGGCTGGTCGCTTCGGGTGACTCATCTGCTGAGTTCTCGCGGTTTGGATCTCCTGGCGGTTTACGTTCAGGGGGTACCCAATGTCCTGGTTCATTCTTCTGTTCGCGGAATAGACGGTCGACGTCAACTCGTTCAGTTGGCTTTGCCAGTCGTTCAGGCCTCCGGAAGTGGATCTCTTCGCGTCGACTTGGTCAAGGCGTCTCCTGGTATACGTGGTGCCCTTCCCGACTGCGAGGCCGTCGGGGTCAACGCCTTCAATGCTTCGTCAACTGGGCGAGGTTGGGTTACCTGTACCTCTTGTCCCGGTTCAGCTGTTGCTCCAGGTCCTGGCTCGCTTGGAGACTTACCAGGGAAGAGTTGTACCGCTGGCTCCTTGGTGGCCAGCCCAGCCTTGGTTTCAGGCGCTGCTTGCTCGGTATCCGAACCCGAGGGTCTTCCCGTGGCTCTGCCTCTTTCAGCAGATTGGTCCAGCCTGGTACGAGGCTGGTATCGAGTCTGTCATCACTTGTATGGGGTGCAGGTGGCTTCGTTGTTGGTCTCCCACCTGCGTGCTTCGTCTTGGCGGCAGTATGAAGTTTCCTGGCGATCCTTCCAGTTTTTCCTATCACTGCGTAGGTGTACATCGGTCTCTGATAGGGTTGTCTTGTGACAACCTTTCTTAGTTGTTCCAGGACCGCATCTTATATGACGGTCCTGGACATAATACTGTTGCCTCGTATCGTGCGGCGCTGGCAGAGCTGCTGCAACTCGCGTTTGGTATTGATGTTACTTCTACCCTATTCTGCAAGCTGTCTCGTGCTTTGTTTCACCTCCGGCCTGCTCATACGCCTCCTGAGCCGTCATGGTCCTTGGACTGGGTGTTCTCTTTTCTCTCTCCTCTGTTGTGGCCCCTTCAGTTCAGGATTGTTTTTCTAAGGCTCTTTTTCCTGTTGGCATTGGCCTCTTGGGGGTCGGGTTGGGGAGCTTCATGCTCTCTTCCGGTGCAGGGGTTTCTGCTCCTTCGGTCCTGGTGGTAGGTTTGTTCGGTTGCAACCATGTCTTTCTTTTCTGGCGACGAATGTGCTGCTTTCAGGAAGGGTCCTTTGGTTGTTGATGCTTGATTGCATATACAGCCAGCAATTTTTGTTGGAGAGTTCTGTCCACTCGTTCGGCTTTCAGTAGCAATATTTTCACCAAAATGGGGGTTTGTTTTAGATGCCTATCTTTCTGTGTGCCAGACCCGGTCGATGGCAGACATAGAATGCTCCCAAACACACGGGGGTTTCTGTAGGCCATTGCTCCTCGTGCCTCTCTCTGAGGGGGCCAGGTTCTGGCTTGTGGTCCTTGGTAGGCAAGAACTCCATGCACTTTGGCTGATGCCAGAAAGCTAATAGTTACATGTCAGCCTGGATAGCTCTGGGGAGCCTCCGGGTATCACCCAGAAAATGGCGTTTCTCTACATTCAACGCTGGTTTTTTGTCTAAATTTGGTGCTTATTTCGAATGCCTCATTGACGATTTTTTTTACAGTGAACTAAACTGAAAATTTATATTCTAAATCTATGAAAATAAAGATCATAAGCTATTCTGAGAGCATAACAACACCTAATGAACAATTGGTGATATTTTATATTTTTGCTGCTGATTTGAAAATCTAAAGTTTTCAATATTCAAATTATAATTATTTTTTATTTTCTCATTTTTCAAGTTACGTTTATGATCATTTAGACAAAGTTGTAGGATTTGCTAGTAGCACAAAAAAAAGGAAAGTGTTTGAGCAAGTTCAAGTTTGAGCAAGGTCCTCTCTCCATCCATCCATCCATCCATCCATTCATTCATTCATTCATACCCTCTATAAATGTACTATATAAAATAAATAAAATGTGTGTGTGTGTGTGGGCATGTGCGCCAGTGAAGTTTAAGGGTTAAGGGGTGATTTATTCTTTCCCATACAGTATTTGTCTATCCTCCTAAAATCAATAGTGAATAAAAATTCAAATATCCTCCAACAGTGAATGGGTTGTTAAGCAATTTGTGTTGATTTGAGTTAATTAAACGAAACGTGAATGGGTTGTTAAACGATCTGGTGGGTCATATTCCGGGAAAAATTAGGATTAAGGACCTGTCCGAAATGCTGTACGTGCTAGTGGCTGTATAAGAATGTAAGAACTCCTGTATATATAAATAAATAAATTAGAAAACTCAATCTTGAGACCTTCATTTTCTTGTTCCAATTGAATTATTCTTTCTTCATAATTCTTTAGCAAGCCCTCAATAATCACTAACCTGTATTGAAAACCTCCTTTCATGTGTAAAATTATTATACCTAAAATATATATATACCCAAAATATACCTAAAATATGGTATATTATACTGACAGTGATGTTACTTTTCAGGAGAAATTAAACCTGACTGAACATAATGTCAACAAAAACCTGCAGGCCAGTGAAATGTACAAAAAGAAGGAAAAAGAATTAAATAAAGGCAGAATTGAGGCACAGAAGAAGCTAAAGAAAGCAAGTGATGATGTAGAGAAAGAGTTGCAAAATACTACTAATTTTCAACCGCGCATAAACACCAACAGGTCAGATTACTGCTTTCATCTCTTCACTACACTTTTCTGTATTCTTATAGATCATTTCTTATGTAACAGTTTACCATTTCTTGTGAAGAAAAGCAATGTGATGCTGACTTGTACCAAATATTTATCATGTTACATATGGACAATAGTTTAAAGAATGTGAGATGATAATATTTGTGTTTTTTCAGGAGCGTTGAAGAAGTAGAACGCCAGTACAATGGTCTTCTAGCTAGACTAAATAAGGAAAGTGCTAATTGTGGTGACCCAGTGCAAATAGCACAAAGATATAAAGACACCAAGGAAAGATATGCTAAAGTCTCTGCAGAAATGGATTCACATTATAGTTTAATAAAGGTATGTGTCAAATATTTTTTACTGTACAGTATAGTGCAAAATATACGTATGAATGATGATGGTGTAACAAACCAGTTGTTTTCGATCATCAGCCATGAATAAATAAGGAAAGTGCATGGGGGAGTTGTGTAAAATCCTGGGTTGTCTCTCTGAGAGACTGCAGGATCCAGTAAGTTCAGTAGAACTTCGGTTTCAACTCTTTTTGGCCATGTCGTAGCTCAGTCGATTAAGGCAGCATCTGGGATGCTCTTGGACGCAGGGTCGAATCCTTGTCACGGCCCTTGTGGATTTGTTCATCAGCCATGAATGTTGATCTAAGGCAGTTTTCTTCACATTGAGGATCATGATGCAGGACTGGGTTGTGTGAAATCATTGATTGTGATTGCCATATTAATGTACCTTGTGGAGTGGTACATTGATAAAGAATGTACTAAGTATTCAGTACATTCTGAGTACTCAGAATGGCACAAAGACATTGTCATTGCCATAATCAGAAATTTAATTGGTAACAACTTATACACATCATTTAAATGCAGGCTAGACTAAGCAGGTGTACTGTATAACAATCTAAATAAAGCATTACACTGTAGGCATAAAGTTTGTCACATTTAGCTTAGAATTCAAAAGAGGATAATGTAAAGACAGTCTAAATCACAAAATTAGGATGATGACACAATTAGCAGTAGAAGTAATATAAACTAATCATATCATGAAACTGAATAGATTTGCTCACCATCACCATGCTACATAGATAGATTCTAGGGTTATTTTATTACAGTATATATAAAAATAAAATTTACTAGTACAATAGTAGAAGTCATATAATTCTATATGTGTATTTTAGAACACTATTTCATAATACTGGTGCAATATTGTTTATATTATGAGGTACAGTATATCATCATATCTTAGTGTTCGGGTAAATATTTTAGTCTATAAAGCCTCTGTACAAAAATGTATCTTATACAGTACTGTATTGATATTATAAATTTCAGAAAATATCGGAGAGCCTTGCAGAAAGACAGGAGCACTTCAAAAAGTTTCGGAAATTTTTGTCCATAATGATAAAATCCAATTTCAAAGCTTCTCTCTGTATTCGCAACCTCGTTGTAAGTATTTAAATAATTGTTTTATGTTTCCTTGGGTTCTATTCATGGCTTCTTTTTCACATAGGATTTCCAGTTACTGTATATAAATATCTGGTTCATAAGCGATTTGAATACTGTAAATTAGGGTTTGTTTGTCACACCACATAATCAAATATGAATGAAGAACTTGGTAGGTGTTTTAACCTTGCACTGTATACTTCACTTATGTGACATACCATACCAGCTGGTATGCAAAAGAACAAAAAAAATTCAGAAAAAATCAATTTTGTTTTGATATTGTTAAAATTTTATGTAGCTTTGTGTATAGAGGAAAAAATAAGTATCTAGAGGACATCACGATTCATTAGCATTGTTAGACGAGACTCCAAGGAGGTTGCCCGTGCTAGGCATGCACCAAGAGTTTCAGCAAGTGTATTTATATTGGTTTATTTCAGTATCAGATTAGTTTTTCCCTACTTTTTGCATTGTATTATGCAGTAGTGTGTAATTTGAGAAGTTGCTGTAATAAAATGTGCAGATCATTGATAAACACAAATACACTCGTGTCCCTAATCTGCACACAATATTATATTCTTTGCTATTTTTGCTATTATCACACTGCATACACATGTTATATATAACTACAGTATCTACTTTCTGGGGGAAAGTAGATATACATTCACACACATTTGTTTTATTATATAGTATTTTATGTATAGGGCAGTACTTTTGGATACTACTATGATATTTAAAATAATAGGTTTGTCTTAAAAATAGCAGAGTAAAAGATATTCTTTATTTGTTACTGTATAACATTTCAGGGGGACTTGATGTTTGACTTTGAAAACCAGACCCTATCTTTGAATGTTTTCAAAAAGGGAAGTGGACAGGATGTAGATTCAGTCAGAAGTGCAAAGTAAGTTATTATTTGTAGTGTTGTTCCAAGTACAGTACTTATTTTATTATTCGTTTAAGATAAAAAGTGTATATAAAAATTAATGGTGTAAAACCCACACACAGGCCGTGTCATGAGATAGTTTGTTTTCAGATACAGTAATGTGTGTTGCCATTTCAAATCTGTTTTTGTATGAATATAAGTTACATCGTATGCAAGATGGTTCACTAACTGATTTTAAAACCTATCTACCCGACCCTAACCCAAACACCTTACCTAACCCAATCATCTAGCCTAGCCTTGCCATGCCGTGCTTTGCCTTACATACCTGGAGCATACCTGGACAGGGTTTTGAGAGTTCTTCTGTTCCCCGACGTGTGATAACTTGGTCCAACATTCTGTTGCTTGAAGCAGCCCGCAGATGCCTTGCCTTGGCTTGCCTTGCTTGATGCCTTCTTTTGATAATTACTTGCCTTGAACTTGAACGTCAGTGAAATACAGGATACAGGACACAATCAGACCTACTCACCTACTCATAGAAGGAAATCAACATGTAAAAGAAACTGGGAATTATGATGTCTGACGACCTGACATTTAGTGAACATAACCGAGCAAATATAGCAGCAGCCAGGAAAAGTATAAGATAGATTATGAGAACCTTCAAATCCAGAGATCCCACAGCAATGCTAATACTATTTAAATCACAAATGGTGTCCCGTCTTGAGTGCTGCTTAGTACTCTCTTCCCCTTTCAGAGCAGGAGAGATATCTGAAATAGAGGGACCACAGAGAACATATACGGCATGCATGGAAACGATAAAACATCTAAATTATTGGGACCGTCTCAAAGCTCTCAAGATGTACTCCCTGGAAAGAAGACAAGAAAGGTATCAAATAACATATATATGGAAGATACTGGAGGGGTCCGGTCCCAAATTTGCACAGTAGAATAATGTACTGGAGTAAAAGATACAGAAGGAAATACAGGATAGAACCAGTGAGGAGTAGAGGTGCCATAGGCACAATCAGAGAACACTCGGAGGGGTCCATGGCTGTTAAATAATCTCTCGGCAAGCACTAGAAATTTTGCCGGAACAAAGGTGGATATCTCGACGAAGCTTTTAGATAAGTTCTTGCATGAAGTGCCGGTACAAATGGATTGTAGTGAATATGTGGGCCTGCAGGCCACTTCAACCAACAGCCTGTTGGACTAAGTTACTACAAGTCGAGGAGTAGAAAAACCTCCTCGACTTTTATATTTTATAATATAATATATAATGGGTGTGTGTGTGTGTGTGTATATATGTATGTATGGTTTACACAATCACAAATCAAGCTTTGTGGAACCATCTTGTATGTGTTTTGACCATATCCCATTTGCATGATCAGTCCATGCATCTTTGAATCCCCACATTTTGTGGGAGATGAGGGGGGAATTGTTTTTAATGCTTACTTAAGATGATTATATTTAAATTCCAATATTTAATTGAGGTTTTGTAAACCATTAGCTCTGGAAATCGGGATAAAAAGCGGATGCCACAGCAGACATTAGCAATGATGTCAGGAGGAGAACGCTCTTTTTCAACTGTGTCCTTCATCATTGCTCTCTGGGATGTCATTGAATCCCCTATAAGGATTTTGGATGAGTTTGATGTTTTTATGGTGAGTGGTTTATATTTCAAATAGTTGTCTGTAATTCCTATAAAAAGTTTATTGGTAAAGATAAATTAACAATTAAAGAGCATAATTCTCTATGCTCTGTTACTGCATTAATTAACCCTTGGAGGACATAATTCTCTATGCTCTGCATCACTGCTACGAGCAATTCTTAAAATACCTGTATTTGAAAAGCAATACTTTTAGTAGGGAGCCCCTACAACTCCCTGGAGCTATCAGGCTGATGTGTGTTATATTAGTCTGAGGCATCAGTCGATTGGAGTTCAGCTTACCGGGGACCACGATCCAGAACTTGGCCCCCTCATCGAGGCAAAGGGAGCAATGGCCTATAAAAGTTCCCATGTGGTTGGGGGCATTCCATGTCTGCGATCGACCGATGTTGGCACCCAGAAAGGTTGTGCATAACAAAACAAACCCCACTTGTTAAGAAAATGCTACCAAAAACCAAACGGGGAGGCAGAACTTGCCGTATAACTTAAGGAAACGAGCAAACACCTCACCGCCTGTCCATGCAGCTTCTCCCCTCTCCCCCCTGTCCCGGGCGACTTCGGGGGCTGCCCCATTCGGGTTGGGAATGGAAGCATTCGAGCCTATTCCTCCTGCAGTGGCTTCTGGATCCTACCTGTAGCCCCTTCTTTGCTGCCTTTTCCCCTGGACTCTGCCCTTTCTTCAGGGGTAGTGGGCATGAAGGACAACTGTGGGGGAAAGCCCTTTAGCAGTTCTGGGACTGTTTGCCCCTTCTTGGGCTTCGTCCCTTCTCTCGTCTGCTTTATTTTCCCACATTTGCTGGGGTGATTTTGGCTATCTTGGGAGGCCTGGCAGAAGTCCAGTTGATTCTGGACCAGGTTTGGACTTGGCTGGGGCCTCATGTGGGCGTTTGTCTGTGTTGCTTTCCTTTCCTCCAGCAGCTTGGCTTCAGCTGCAGTGCTACTGCCTGCTGGTGTTGAGACAGTCCTGGATGACTTGGCATTTACTTGAGTAGTTGCATGAGTTTCTGAACTTTGCCTACGTGGTTTTTCCGCTGGGCAGGCTGTGACTTTGGGGGCTGTTCTGGTTTCTCTGGTTCCACGCCATTCGTCACCATCACGGCTGCTGGGTGCAAGCCCCATTTGCCTTTTGGTGACTGCTGTGTCACTGGCTTCTATGGGCTTTTCAGGGTTCAGTTCCATGATATGTTCCTCTTTTCCCTCACTCAGCGTCTTTACGGGTGCCTTGGCTCTGGGTTGGAGCTTGTGACCAGCACTCGCCAGGCTGCTCAGGATCATTGGTGACCTCCTTTTTGGTGGCCACACACTATGGTGCGGTAGTTTGCGGCCAAGTGGCATGCCTTAAGGAGGCTTCAAATTCCTGTAAGACCTGTGCTCCGGCTCCATTCGGATTGTACCGAGTGCTTCATTTTCTGAACATGTGGATGGGGGAGCTCTCTTTGGTCTGTTGCTCCTTGGAGCTACTGGAAACTGCGAGTAGTTCTACTTCTGGATTCTCAAGGTTTGGTGCTCTACATAATTTCATTTGGTCTTTATTGCCATCTTATTATTTTTATTTTCAATGTGTCTTTATTGCCATCTCTACAGCAAACAGGTGGCTAATTTGAGGGTGTCCCACCTGTGGTTCTCTTCTCAGCAGCAGTGGGAAGTTTCTTGACACTCGTTTTGCCATTTTCTTTCTCTTCATTGTTGCTCTTCAGTTGCAGAACATGTGATTCTTTCTTGGTAGTTTCTTGATCGGCACTTAACGCTGAATATTGTCGCCTCTTCTTCTTCTTCTTGATAGTAGGTGCAGTTTGCATGAAGGGATTGTCCTCCCGATGACTGCACCAGTACTGATGTTGGTGGGCGCGTTTATGTTGAGGATGATCGGAGCTACCAAGGTGTTTGTTATGTTGTGCTGTAGATAGAGGAACGGTGATTAAAACAGGTGTGTGTTGTAGGGAGACTTGCCGCACTGTAGGGCGGTGTGTTGTGTTTATGGCGTCAGCTGATCCTTGGTGCTGTGACGAGGCAGTTGTCTGTGTTTAGCTGTTGGTGGCGCCAGGTATAACTGTGGCGCGGGTCAGATGTGACCCAATTTGTTGGTCGACTGGAGATATTTAGCCAGTGCTTTGACTATTTGGTATTTTTCTAGTAACGAGTGGTCACCACCTCCTAATATATGCTCGATGGTGAAGGGTATTTTAAGTGCGATAAAGACTTGTTTGAAATTTACTCTGGCACTATGATGTCGGAAGCAGTGCAAGAGATAATGTTCAACTGTTTCAGGCATCTGACAGTGAGTACAGAGTTCATTGATGTCTGTTCTGTACTTAGAGCTGTGTGCTGCTAGTTTGGTATGTCCCAGCCTTAATCTGGTCATCGTTACATCAATTTCTCTGCTTTTATACCGGACATGTTTCCAAGTTTCCCATTTCTTTTTAATGGACCCATAGTGCAAAGGTGAGCATAACGTTTTCCAGTTTGTTGCAAAATCCTGGGAGATGGTATCTTTGAAGGCTCCTTTACGTGCAACATGGGGAATTGGATGATGGGTAAGGTGAGGCATGTTGTGCATCGCTGTGGCTAGTTGGTCTACAAGTTCATTATGGAGAATACCACAATGTGCTGGGACCCATTGGATAGAGGTGTCATAACCGTTCAATTGATGTTTGTGAAGAAGTTGAAGGCATGGGTAGACAATCTCCTTGCATGTTTTCGAAGAGTACGTAATTGCTTGAATCGCGCTCTTGGAGTCACTACAGATTGTATATATCCCAACTGGTAATGTTGTGATGATTTAGAGAGCTTGATATAAGGCATATAATTCCGCTGTGAAAATAGATAGTTGGTTTGGTAACCGCCATCCCTGCTTGAGATGGTATTCCGGTATCCATACAGCGCAAGTCGCCTCTTATTGTGCAACACTGGCAGCACTGTGCAGCGCTGTTGCTTGCCTTTGGCATCAATATATCTTCAGATCCATTTTGTAAGCTTTATTCATTGTTTCACCTCTGGGCTGCTCATGCACCGATTGAGCCCACTTGGTTTCTTCTAGATTTATGATGTCCCCCCCCCCCCCTTTGGTCCAGGATTCTTTTTCGAAAGCTCTGTTTTTGTTAGACTTGGCTTCCAGTTATAGGGTCAGGGAGCTTCATGCTTTCCTCTAGAGGCAGAGTTTTTGTTCTTTTGACCCCAGTGGGCATTTTATTTGTTTGCAGCCAGCTCTTTTCTTGCAAAGAATGCATTGGCTGGCATCCAAAAGGGTCCTTTGGTTATCGATGCTTGGTTAGGCAGGGAGTGAATCATGTGCTGTAGGCTCATGTAGCAACTCCTTTCTGCTACCTTCAGGCCACAGATTCTGCCTTGGTGAATGCTTTGTGGATCAATCCTGTTTCCTTGGTTCCCTGTTCCAAGGCTCATGTCTCCCAGATTGTCCGCAATGATATAAAATCTAGCCAGCCTTTAGTCTACTCTCATGCCCATGATGTTGGTGAGGACTCCGCTCTTCCAGTTGTTTTTGCTAACATGTCCTGGATTGATATTCGGGAACATGGGTTCTGGTGTTTAAACAGGGTACTGGTGGCCTGGTACTGGGTTAATGTTCCTGGACCTTGTCATCCCTTGTGTTGCATTGGGTCGTGTGTTTCAGCCTGCTGTCTCATCTTCATCTTGACCTCTTGCCATTCCTCCTCCCTGATGAGTCTCTATTTTCTTTTCCATTGGTAGTTAGCTTTATGAAGCCTCAAAGAGCTCCTCCCAGAAAACCAGCAGCGAATGTAATGAAATGCCAATTTCTGAGTGATCTCCAGTGGCTCCCTGATCTCCCCTCCGCCCCAACCTCCCTTCCAGGTTGTCCGTTGGGGATATATTGTGTTTGTATCTGCTCCAGGACTGACTGCTCCAGCCAGTGGACAATGTGGGCCCCAGCCCCCCTCCCTCCCCAAACGAGTGGGAAGGGTGGTGCAAAGGAGCACATGCTTGTTTAGACACATTTTAAATACCAGTACTTTGTTTACATTGTGGAGGGAGTTCATTTGGCAGGTTGTGAGGCTACGGTTTCTTTTTTCTATCGGTTTGCTGACTTTCCGGGTGCCTTCCCTGATGAGGTGGTGGAGCATCACCTACTTCCTGCAACTCTGTGAGGAAGTCATGTTCTGGCTCTGGTCCCTGGTAGGTAGAACTGAGCTCCACAGCTGATGTGAACTAACACCAGTTAGGGGCTATCTTAGCAAGATGACTTGAGGGAACCACCAGGGCTCGCCCAGAAATTGGCATTGCATTACATTCTACGCTAGTTTTTTCCATTTATTCTCAAGAACATTTATATAAAAATTATTTTTACACCAAATTTAGTTATAACTTGAAACAGAACTTTGAAAATATTAATAGAATATTTTAGGCTATTTTAGCATGGCTGAGCAGGACTTTGAGAGACTTTGAGCATTTATTTAGAGGGGGAGTGTGAAGGGGGGGGGGGATCAGAATTCCCAAGTGTTGAGGATACTCGAGAGGAAAATGTGGTGTATATTATAAGACATTTGTTTCTATACTTTGACTTTGCTCTGAAGGCTACTGTTACACTTTGTGTGCTATAAATATTTTATGTGCTGTCTACCATATTGAGATTTGTTTTTCTCTTAATTAATAACATTAATTATTATCTATCTATAGACCACCTCTAAAAAAGGTGTTGTTGTTAAATTATCATTATTGTATGACAGGTTTAACTTCAATGAATACAGCTGTTTGTTATGATGTAATTTATTTTGTGTTTAATGTGTGATTTATTTTATTGTACACAATTAAGTTCTTCAATATGCTTATGATCCCGCAGGATATAGTGTCCAGGAAGCAAAGTATGACTATGATGATCAAAGCAGCCAAGTGCAAGACTCAGTATATCTTCTTGACTCCACTTGACATAGACACTATTGCTCACCCAAATATTTATATATTCAGGTATTTATGTATTTTTTCTCTTTAATCATTATGAAATGCTAAGCATGACTTAATTGTTAACTAAGACTACATGCAAGTACTGTACAGTACACTGTAATTTTGAGTAATTAGGTATCCCCTGTAGAGAAACCATTTAGTTTGGATATGAAAATGTGAGTTGTCTGCGTGATATTTGGAGAATACCTTTTTATAGTAGTTTTGCAGACTTGCATCTTGAGGTTATCTTGAGATGATTTTGGGGCTTTTTAATGTCCCCACGGCCCGGTCATCGACCAGGCCTCCATCCCTAGGAAGCAGCCCGTGACAGCTGACTAACACCCAGGTACCTATTTTACTGCTAGGTAACAGGGGCATTGGGTGAAAGAAACTCTGCCCATTGTTTCTCGCCGGCGCCTGGGATCGAACCCAGGACCACAGGATCACAAGTCCAGCGTGCTGTCCGCTCGGCCGACCGGCTCCACATATGGTGGTGCATATGGTGGTGCAAGGAAGGTCCCATGTATTGGGCCATGTAGCTCCCTGATGGCAAAATTTTTGAATGACTTTTAACACATCATTGGGGAAAGACCCTGAGTAGAGAACCAATACCCTTAGAAGTTTAGCATTACAGATTGGGCTGTCAGTAATAATAGTTGTATCACAGAACGCATAGAATATAGGTATACACGTACAGTACAACCTCCATTCAACCCACTATATGGGACCAACCCCAGTGCATTGCAGGGTTGGATTCGTTTCTGGAGGTGACCTTCAGGAGGCGTTTGTGTCAGTCTTTTTTTTTTCTTGTAAACAATAACAATGTATTATCATATTATATACTGTACCTATATATTACTACTCTACTAAAAATAGCAACTTGTTACAGTTGTTATTTACCTTATTGTTGGAATAATGTCCATCTTGATTTCTCATGGAGTTGTGAATGCTGTACAGTAAATATGTACTGTACTGTATTATGCCATTAGCACTGTATTGATAAGTAGTTCTGCTGTATATTGAGTACTACAATACAGTTTATGAAAACTATTTTACACTAAAATTACTGTACTGCAACCTTAATTTGAACACTAACACTATGTACTTAAATTTAACACTTATTCTAACTGTACTGTACACTCCACACACAATGATCTTAGATGTTTGCATCAGCTTTGCTGGTGCTTGCTGCTGCTGTGTTTACTTCAGCTGCTTCTGAGCTGGTGCTGGCTGCTGTTGTACCAGTGCTGGGTACGGCTGTGCTGGTTGATTTTCTGCTACTAGTTCTTGCAAAATATTGACTCACTTTCGGCACTAATAAGGCACTATTAGCAAGCCCTTGAGGCATCTTGTTGTATAACAATACAGCTGTAGTAAAAAAATGGTAAATTCGAAGATTATTCTTCTACTGGCGGACAAACACGATACTCGCAGACAAAGCTAATTGCACTCGGTGCCTACTGTATGAACGCAGACTAGGTCTATACACCCTACAGTAGGCTGGTGTTTAAGCCAGATACAGTAACATAAATTTCTTTCAAATATTGGATTTACATAAAATTATATATTTATGGGTTATATATTTAGTTTAGCAACAATATTACGATAATAAGAGCTATAGAAAATACTTATTTTAGAACTGATTTATTTTATTATTTTGAAGCTGTAGGTCACTGAACTGTGGCGACGAAATCAAACGAAACATGTATGGTGCTGGGTGTACACGGATTAGACCCGTCCACTCACACTGGAGTTCTTGTGCCAATAACATGAATAATTTCTCAAATAGCAGATGCCTATCATATTGCAGTATATTTTTGGTTTTATTTAGTTTACTTTAATTAGGATAATGAAGAGCTATTAAAACACTGGTTTTAGAAATGATTTATTAATCTGAAACTTTCAAAGTCATGGGTCACTGAATTATGACGACACAGACAAAAGTGAGTGAAACCTCACTGTAAAGTGAGGTTTACAGTACAATATTCCCTTATCTGTTCACCCTCACTCATCTTGTCTCATCACAGAAAATGTATATAAGAAGAGTTCAAGACATTAGCTAGCTATTCACACTTCAGCCTTTAAATTAATCTTCAAAAGATTAATAAAAGATTAGGTCCCACAAATCGGTAAATTAAAATCATGGAAACACAGTCGTTTACTTGTGTGGTGCACTCTGGCTGGTGTTTGGTTCATATGGTTCACTTGTTGTGTGGTCCACTCTGGCTGGTGTTTGGTTCATATGGTTCACTTGTGTGAACCACTCTGGCTGGTGTTTGGTTCATATGGTTCACTTGTTGTGTGGACCACTCTGGCTGGTGTTTGGTTCATATGGTTCACTTGTGTGAACCACTCTGGCTGGTGTTTGGTTCATATGGTTCACTTGTTGTGTGAACCACTGGCTGGTGTTTGGTTCATATGGTTCACTTGTTGTGTGGTCCACTCTGGCTGGTGTTTGGTTCATATGGTTCACTTGTTGTGTGGTCCACTCTGGCTGGTGTTTGGTTCATATGGTTCACTTGTTGTGTGAACCACTGGCTGGTGTTTGGTTCATATGGTTCACTTGTTGTGTGGTCCACTCTGGCTGGTGTTTGGTTCATATGGTTCACTTGTTGTGTGGTCCACTCTGGCTGGTGTTTGGTTCATATGGTTCACTTGTTGTGTGGTCCACTCTGGCTGGTGTTTGGTTCATATGGTTCACTTGTTGTGTGGACCACTCTGGCTGGTGTTTGATTCATATGGTTCACTTGTTGTGTGGTCCACTCTGGCTGGTGTTTGGTTCATATGGTTCACTTGTTGTGTGGTCCACTCTGGCTGGTGTTTGGTTCATATGGTTCACTTGTTGTGTGGTCCACTTGTGTGATCCAACTTATCATATGAAGGAATTATATATATATATTTGTCACTAATATGAGTTCCATTAACAGTACAGTGGTGCCTTGGTTTCGAATGCCCCTCTTTTCAAATTTTTTGGTTCTCGAGCTCAATTTCTTCTAAAAATTTGACTCTGTATTCAAATTCAAGGTTTGCCTTGGTGCTTGAGTTTGTTGATACACGTATGGACCCACCGAGCACCTGGCACGCTTCAGTTTACCAGTGTCTCCCGCCTAGTGATGACCTCGCTTGAGTTCTTTGTGAAGAATTTCATAGTTTTCTGCATTTTTGGTTTCTGAACATAAAAGTTCTTATTATATATCATGCCATGGGTTCCCAGAAAGTCAGTGGTAAAGTTCAACCTAAGAAAATAGTTGTGAGGATGACAATAGAGGAAAAAAACAAGAGATCATTCATCGTGTGACAATGTGATGTCTCGCTACAGACAAGTGTTAAAACGTAGGGAAAAACAAGTGTCTGTAGACAGATTTTTAGTAAGACAAGCAAGCAGTGAGCCACAACCAGGTCCTAGTGGTATGCTTGTAAAATGTGAGAGATGTCATCACTGCTTGATGTCATAATGGAAGGGGACTCCCCTTCCAAATACTATCACACCACCTCTCTTTTCCCCCCCCCCCCTCCTCACTATCTTCATATGCCAACAAGAGTTCTCAATAAAGGTAAGATATACTTGTACATACTGTAGTACAAAATGAGTAGAAGTATTTATAAGATGTATTTTTAAATTAATATCTTTGGAAGTGTAGAACGGATTAATTCAATTTACATTATTTCTTGTGTTAAAATTTATTTTGGTTTTTGAACCGTCACTACGAACATATTAAATTTGAAAACAAAGGTAGCACTGTATTCTTTGATTAATAAAACATAGATGTTTGTTATTACATCATGTAAACAAGTTAACTTTCTAGACACAATGTACACATGTTACATATAACTGTCTACATTTTTATGCACTATAACTGGTAAGCAGTTCTGGTGGGTGTGGTTATAAAATCCCAGCACAACATAGCACCACATGCTACCAGTAGGTGATGCCATCTTGTGCAGCAAAATGCCTCCAATACTGCTATTATTATTAGATTGCTGTCACCAAATCATGAATATGAATCATTTTCCACAAGTGTATTTTCTAAAACATTAGAACCCAATTCATGATGCTTAATTGCACGACACTGCGGCTGTGTGCTGCTAATGTCTGTCTCTTCCACTGTGAACATCATAACCAGCACTGTGTTCATGATATCTGAACCTTGTGTATAGTCTTTATCACAGACACGGTCTACTATTACACTATCATTGCAAAACAATCAGCTATTTATTTTGTGGTTATTAAATGATGGTGTGGGCACAAGCTGCATGGCAGTGCTGTGAGCTGCTGCAGCATGTGGTCACCCTCTCAGTAACTGAAGCCTCACACCTAGGAGAGGGTGCCCAAAATTGTTTCCAAGATAGCATCTGTTTACTGGACACCTGAGGCTGCAAATGTTAGCCCCGTGTACAAACAGGACTTTTAAATCTTACACGTTTCTTTAACCCACTGGACTGCGCCAACCGAGAAAACTCGGTCGATGGGAAACTGCACCAACCGAGAAAACTCTTTTTTTTTATTTCATCGTACCTGTTCAAAATGTGTGCGCGGTTGGTTGTGTACAAAATGGACTCTTAGGACCTCCAGTGAGAGGCAGCCATCTTGGAAAAAATTTGCAGAATGCCCTAGGGCTGCTGGCTGGGTTAGTACTGAGTGAGCAACCATGGGTGGTGCACGTGCCTTTGGCTCCCAAACACCTGTCCAAGGCGGTGTTGAAAGAACGCGCCCTGTTGGTAAAATTCAAACCTTAATGTTTGAAGAACATAAGGGTCATGATACTGGTGAAGCTAAGCACAATAAGGACCTAACACAAAGGTCGGATGCAAGTGATATAGCACCTATGAGAACGATACAGCGAGCGTATCCAGTTGTAGCTCTGAGTGCCACCCTTGCCCACCTATGCCATCTCCAATTTATATAGATGATACATAGATGAATCATTTTCTGCGTTCAGTGAAGATGCATCTGATACAAGTAGCACAGATGAACAGTGTTAGCGGCTTCCATGTTGGTGTTTTCCATAGATATTCTCAAGAATAGTTGAATCTCTTCCAGACTGACTGACACTCTTTGAGGCTGGCTGAATCTCTTCCTGTGTGGAACCTTACAAAGCAAACTTTTCAAGACTACCTTACAAATTGACCTTTTCCTGTAATCTTTTCAATACTACCTTATGCTTTACAAGTTTGGCTACATACCACCTACAAGTACTGAAGCAAAGGGTGTACGTGAGTGCGTTATTTGCAAGCACACAGAACGAAGAAACAGGAAGTGAAAATCCATCTGTACCTGGTGCAACGAGAGCGAAGTCGTGCTGTGTACCATGGACTACTTTGTTGATCAGTACACACTCAGTACACCCGAAGTACTGAGTGTGTAATACAGTGTGTTATTGTGTAAATAGTGTGTGAAACTGTACATATTGTAATTTTAGTGAATTTTTAACAAGTAATATTGCGACAATAAACATTTATTGTGGACACATTACTGACACATGTATCACAGTTCCATGGAACATTATGAACGTTCTACTGTATACATATTGTAAAGGACACAAATATGCATCATACGATAAAACAACAATTATAACTGCATTGGAAATACATAGAACAAATAATTTAAAATAAATTTGTGGCAACACCGGTGCTTGAATGGCCTGTGCGACCGTGTCTGGGAGCTTCGTCACAGCGCACCTTGTCCACGTCCCCACAGCCAAAGTAAGTGGAATTTGGTATTTATTTTTACATAGTTCAGGGAAGGGAATTTATCATTTTACAAAGAAAAAATGATTTTTTTGAAACGCTTGATTTCATGTACACAGGGAAAATTTCACAATAAGCTCTGCCCATCACAGTGGTTAACCACTGTGGTTAACCACTACCACAGTGGTTAACCACCGTGATGCACCGAGTTTGTGACTCTGTGCACACAAACTCACACTCGTTTATTGTGAGTTTATTGCAGTTTTATTTGTTTTTGTTTTTAATCGTATATGATGCATATTTGTGTCCTTTACAATATGTATACAGTAGAACGTTCATGATGTTCCATGGAGCTGTGATACATGTGTCAGTAATGTGTCCACAATAAATGTTTATTGTTGCAATATTACTTGTTAAAAATTCACTAAAGACACAATATGTACAGTTTCACACACTATAAAGTAACACACTGTATTACACATTGAGCACTTCAGAAGTGAGTAATAATCAACAAAGTAGTCCATGGTACACAGCGCGACTTCGCTCTCATTGCACCAGATAAGATAGATTTTCGCTTCCCGTTTTTTCATTGTGTGTGATTGCAAATAATGCACTCGCGAACACCCTTGGCTTTAATACTTGTAGGTGGTATGTAGCCAAGCTTGTAAATCATAAGGTAGTCTTGAAAAGATTATAGGAAAAGATCAATTTGTAAGGTACTCTTGAAAAGATCGCTTTGTAAGGTTCCACACTGGAAAAGATTGTCATTCTCGAAGAGTGTCAGTCATTCTGGAAGAAATACATGCTTGAAGGGGTTCTGGGAGTTCTTCTACTCCCCAAGCCCGGCCTTAGGCCAGGCTTGACTTGAGTGTGTTGTTCCATCAGGCTGTTGCTTGGAGCGGCCTGCAGGCCCACATACCCACCACAGCCCGGTTGGTCCAGAACTTCTTTTAGAAAACAGTCTAGTTTTCTCTTGAAGATGTCCACGGTCGTTCTAGATTCGGACATCGAGATTCAGGCATTCTGGAAGAGATTCGGCTATTCTTGAAAATATCTATGGAAAACGCTACCATGGAAGCCACTAACACTGTTCATCTATGCTACTTGTATCAGATGCATCATCACCAGGAAATGATTCGTCTATGTATGTTGTATATAAATTGGAGATGGCATAGGTGTGCAAGGGTGGCGCACAAGAGCCACAACTGGATTCGCTCGCTATATTGTTGTCATAGGTGCTGTATCAGTTGCATCCGACCTTTGTGTTAGGTCCTTATTGCGCCTAGCTTCACCAATATCATGACCCTTATGTTCTTCAAACAATAAGGTCTGAATTTCACCGACAGAGCGTGTTCTTTCAACACCCGTCAGACAGGTGTTTGGGAGCCAGAGGCACGTGCGCCTCCCATGGTTGCTCACTCAGTACTAACCCAGCCAGCAGCCCTAGGGGATTCTGGGAATTTTTTCCAAGATGGCTGCCTCTCGCTGGAGGTCCTAAGAGTCCATTTCGTACACAACCTACCGCGCACACATTTTGAATGGGTACCAAATATTCAAAAGGTGTTTTCTCGGTTGGCGCAGTTTCCAATCTACCAAGTTTTCTCGGTTAGCGCAGCACAGTGGTTAAAAACGACCCCAGCCATGTTGCAGTTAACGGATAATTAGTGTGATCAACTCCAGCTGTGTCATGCAGTGGAAGGGTTAATGTATTTCTAATAAAAGATAGGATAGGATAGGTATACAGGTGAGAGGGGGGGGGTTATCTTGAGATGATTTTGGGGCTTTTTTTTAGTGTCCCCGCGGCCCGGTCCTCGACCAGGCCTCCACCCCCAGGAAGCAACCCGTGACAGCTGACTAACACCCAGGTACCTATTTTACTGCTAGGTAACAGGGGCATAGGGTGAAAGAAATTCTGCCCATTGTTTCTCGCCAGCACCTGGGATCGAACCCAGGATCACAAATCCAGCATGGTGTCCGCTCGGCCAACCGGCTCCATGGTCAAAAATGGTTAAAAATGGCTCCCAATTTTTGTTCCATATTTCAAAATTTATTAATTCCTCTTTATATCACATGCATTTCTTATCCGGTTAATTGACTGGATATTTTTTTTTACAGAATGCCTGACCCCGAAAGAAACGATTCAGAAAGACGAGGAATTGAAACGTGAGAAGCCCCATTTTGCATGATCAAATCTTCCATAATTCTTTGTGTGCAGATGTGTGTTGGTGTATGGGTTAAAACAAGGGTATATATGAGGGTGTTGTGGACAGTGGTACTGTGTGTCCAGTATACATCCAAGCCATTGCTCACCTTATTAAAAATTGGTATAGTTGTATAAGGATGAATTTTTTTTTTTTCCAACCTCAGTCATCAAGGTTTGAAAGATTCTAGTTAACTAAATGAAAGAAGTTATAGCCGAGGACTATAAAGCCTGGAAATAATTGATATTAGTCAAACTTGATATTTGTCGATAATTGTTTTTATTTTCTGTATTCTAAAAGGATACTGTAATAGAGAAACAATAGTTACTCTATTTTAAATTAACAAATGTGTTGTATCTGTGAAATACAAAAGGGTTAATACGTTCTGAAATTAATTCAATGTTAAATTATTTGTTGTGCTTCAGATGAGTAGAAGCCAGTTATGGCCACTTGAAATAATGAGCACCAATCACTTTTGACCTCAAAGTGACTGGTGCCATCTCATCTTATTCATAGGCTGAACTATAAATAGGAATGAAATTCCTGCTACTAAACTAAATGCAAGAATCATTTGAGATGCTGGAGTCAGTCATTGGATCATTTGCTCTGAAATACCCTATAAGCATGTATGAATGCTATGAAAGTTTTATAATGCAGATGAATTTTGGCGAATTCAAAATAATATTAAGGATTTTGTACTTCTTATACTTTTGTATTACATTTAACTACAGAATACAAGCTTGTCGTGATGTTTGTTGCATTGTGTTTATATGGCCAAATCATTAACACAACAGAAACACTGAAGAGTGGGTGTACAAGGTCTGTGTATCTGTTGTTGAGCCATTAGATGAGGTGTGGAGAGCCTGCCTCATCATTGGGCTAATTAGCTGCAAGATGTCAATGCAAGCCATTTTGACCCTTATTTTCTTTTCTTTTGTGTTCATTCCATGTATACATTCCCTTTATTGTTTCATAATTTGATAAGTGAAATATAAAGTATTATCCACAAGCAGTAATGTGTTTATATTACCAACATACACAAATGTTAATACATGAATATACTTTGTGATGACAGATGCTGCATCAGTTAGCAGTACATATGGGTAATGGTGATCACATGCTACATCAGTTAGAAGAACATACCGGTAATGGTCAAACAACTCTCAATGATTACAAGGATCAGCATTTCCCACAGGGCTCAAGGTCGTAGATTGTGAGCTGCACTTGACCTCCAAATGCAGCTCCAAACACAGCAAGAGCCAGGTCCACATAGTAACAAAGCAATGCACAACAAATGGCCACACGGGACAAAGTTCAAGAAAGACTGGCACTTAGCAGAAAAGGACTAGGATCTGCCACAGCTTGCTAATGATCTGGGAGCCTTACAACTGACGTTCTTTAAAATCTGCATCAGCAACAGAACTGATGGCATTAGCTAATGAACAGTGTGAGCCCCGGCCCCCACCTTCCCCCAACTTGTGGGGCAAACGAGTGCAAGTTTGTTTGCTTACATTCTTGGGAGGCAACCCGTCCTCAGATCAAATCCATTCCATCCAATGGTCAACCATTCACATGGTCGACTGTTGATGCATTCATAAATTTTAACATGCTGTTCATTCAAAACAGGAATTTTCTCAAATATAAATTAATATTATTATATATTAGCATATAGTGCATATTTAGGCATTTGTTAGGTTAGGTGTATAGGTTCTGCTGGCGATTAATTGCATTTGTAGTATGTGGGTGAAGCATTTACGGCATTGGTTCAAACAAAAGTCGTCAGCGAAGCACTTGTTCCGGAAGTGTTCATACGTAATCAGTTGTCGTATGTAAGCAGTTTTTTATTCATAAATGGAGTTTGGCGGGTGCAGGGAATGGACTTAGCCCGTCCTCAAACACAGGCCAGTGGGAGGAGAATTTACACATGGAAAATATTAGAGGGGCTGGTCCCAAACCTGCACACAGAAAATAACATCACATGAGACCAGAAGGCATGCCAGGATGTGTAGAATATCCCTGTTGAAAAGCAGAGGTGCAATAGTTGTAGCACCCCAGGTTGCAATTATTTTACCATGTGGCACAGTTGACCAGAGCGTGCACTTGAGAACACCCAGCGCATAGGTTTAAACCCTCATCACGGCTCCTGTGGATTTGTGTACGTATTGGTTACCTTGCTATGAGTTTTAGGCTCGACGTCCTCGACCAGGCCTCCTGGTTGCTGGACTGGTCAACCAGGCTGTTGGACACGGCTGCTTGCAGCCTGATGTATGAATCACAGCCTGGTTGATCAAGTATCCTTTGGAAGTATTTATCCAGTTCTCTCTTGAACACTGTGAGGGGGTCAGCCAGTTATGCCCCTTATGTGTATTGGAAGCGTGTTGAACAGCCTTGGGCCTCTGATGTTGATAGAGCCCTCTCTCAAGAATACCTATTGCACCTCTGCTTTTCAATGGCAGTATCCAGGGATACTACACTTAGTATCAGCGGCAGTGTCAAGGGAAAATGTTGGTATGGGTTGTATCTAGGCTCTGTCTCCAAAGAATGGCCTGCGATAGTGGTTTTTACAGTTCTTGATGAATATGGAGTTCCAAGAATCAGGGGCCTGGTGCAGAGTGCATAGGCATACTGTCTATGACTTCTTCAAAATTTGATGTTGATATCACATCCATGAAGAATTCATGGATTTAGTGGCTCGCTGAAAAGTCATATTGATTCCTCAATATTTCACTCATTTCTTTGTTGTCATCTGTTTCACTGAAAATATGTTTCATATGAAAATATAAAAACGGAAACCAAGTACAAAACTTGGGCAAATCATAACATAGAATGAAAAGGCAATGTAAAGGATCTGGGTGTACTCATGTCAGAAGACCTAACCTTTATAGAACACAATAAAGTAGACGTCACTTTGCAAGAAAAATGACAGGTTGGATAACAAGAACTTTTCACACTAGAGATGCTATACCGATGATGATACTTTTCAAAACGCTAGTGCTCTCTAGAGTGGAATACTGCTGCACATTGACAGCCCCTTTCAAAGCTGGAGAAATTGCTGACCTGGAGAGCGTACAGAGATCCTTTACTGCTAGAATCTACTCAGTAAAATATCTAAACTATTGGGACCGACTAAAAGAGCCTAAATCTGTATTTCCTTGAGTGCAGGCGGGAGAGATACATAATAATTTACACGTGGAAAATATTAGAGGGGCTGGTCCCAAAACTGCACACAGAAATAACATCACATGAGACCAGAAGGCATGGCAGGATGTGCAGAATACCCCCGTTGAAGAGCAAAGGTGCAACGGGTACTCTGTCAACATCAGAGGCCCGAGACTGTTCAACACGCTTCCGCCGACCCCTCACAGTGTTCAAGAGAGAACTGGATAAGCACCTCCAAAGGATACCTGATGAACCAGGCTGTGATTCGTAAGTCAGGCTGCAAGCAGCCGCATCCAACAGCCTAGTTGATCAATCCAGCAACCAGGAGGCCTGGTCAATGACCGGGCCACAGGGGACGCTAAGCCCCAGAAGCACCTCAAGGTAACCACTGACTTTTGGATACTTTCCTGGTGAAGTGCAGTGTCAACTGCTTCCTGCATTTACAGGCTCTGGAACTGGTCCTTAGTAGGACAGCTGAACAACACAGCTGGTGTGACCTAGTAGTTGGGAGCCATCTCAGTAGGATAGCTTCAGAGAGCATCAAGGTGCTCCCCTAAAAAAAAAATACTGGATAGTACCCGATTCCAGTATTACTACTAGACTATTCCAGACAACTGTGTCTGGAAATGCATGATACACTGTTACCTACCTGTTTTATACATCCAGTTTATCAGTACATTTTTTTTCATTTTAATTATCGGAGGAAAGCGCAAAGCCATGATGACTTTATAGCACTTGTCAGTCAGGATAAGGATTTAGGATGGGATGGGGTGGGTAAGGAATGGTGTCCAACCACTTGGACGGTCAGGGATTGAACGCTGACCTGCATGAAGTGAGACTGTTGCTCTACAGTCCAGCCCAAGTGGTTGGGTATTATCAGTACAGTACAGTATCTATTTTGCCTAATTATCATCTCTTCATATTGAAAGCTACCTGCATCTGTTAGATAAACATTTCAAGCAGTTCATCCTGGTTGATACCTGGTTGATGGGGTTCTGGGAGTTCTTCTACTCCCCAAGCCCGGCCCGAGGCCAGGCTTGACTTGTGAGAGTTTGGTCCACTAGGCTGTTGCTTGGAGCGGCCCACAGGCCCACATACCCACCACAGCCCAGTTGGTCCGGCACTCCTTGGAGGAATAAATCTAGTTTCCTCTTGAAGATGTCCACGGTTGTTCCGGCAATATTTCTTATGCTTGCTGGGAGGATGTTGAACAACCGCGGACCTCTGATGTTTATACAGTGTTCTCTGATTGTGCCTATGGCACCTCTGCTCTTCACTGGTTCTATTCTGCATTTTCTTCCGTATCGTTCACTCCAGTACGTTGTTATTTTACTGTGTAGATTTGGTACGTGGCCCTCCAGTATCTTCCATCCCAACTTTTTTAATTTCAAGATCATATAGAAAATTCTTAAGTCTTAGTTCATCTCCATGGAAAAGAAGTAGAATTTTTTTTATATATATATTTTGTAGGAAGACAACAGATTGCTAGGTAATTAATTGAACTTGAGTGTCATACCAGTGTGGAAGACAGATATGCCACTAATTTTAGAACATGAGATGTCAAAGACTACTGTCAGCAAACTATAGTGCAGCTAATAGATGAGTTCTCAAATTAATTCTCTAAAAGATCATCTCTTAAATTAACTGAACACACTTTAAACATTACTTGGGAGAGACAGCTCCCTGAAGCTACTATATCCTGATATGGTACCATCTACTAGGTTGCATCAGCCGTGGAAATCTATAGGCCTACTGGCAACTAGAGCCAGAACCTGGCTCCCATCACAGAGGTGCAGGGAGCAGTGACATATATTTTTGCCACCTCACTGGGGAAGGCAACCAGAGTCAGCAAGTTAAAACAAACTACTGCTAGTTTCAATAGAAACCGAAACCTTGAAAACCAGTGAAAGAACTCTTCCCAATCATGTAAACAAACATTTGATGCCCAACCACTTGGGCTGGACAATAGAGTGACGGTCTCGATTCATGCAGGTCTGTACTCAATCCACGACCATCCGAGTGATTGGGCACCATTCCTTTCCCAAGTCCCATCCCAAAACTTTATCCTGCTCCCATCCAAGTGCTATATACTGTAGTTGTAAAGGCTTGGCACTTTCTTATGATAGTTCCCTTCCCTTCCCTTAGAGCAAGCTCATTCATGCTACCTCCCCCACTTGTTTGGGGATAGATGGGGGAGGTAGCCCATTACCAACCAGCATTTCTACCTTCAATTCTAGTGTTGATGTAGGTGGTACCAGGTTGCCTCTTCCATGCTGGCTCCAGTGTTTTGCTTTTTCAGCAAAGTGGTGGTGTTTGCCCTTGGTGGTATTTCTTGTACACTGCAGTACAGTCTAAGTACTCCACATACTTGGAGCTGCATGTGTGCAGGGTTACCTTCACTGTGCTGCCCTTGCATTGTCAAGGTTATCTTCCCTGGAGTGTTCGGGTGTTCACTTCCTTATACTTTAGGTCCTCCTCACTTGTGGTGGCCCTTACCCAGGCTGAGTCTGGTATCTTGGGACTTTCCTGTCTTAGCTTGGATCAGGAGCCACTTTGGCTGGCGGGCACACTGGGGGTTTGCATGCTTCTCTTAGCACCAAGCATGGCCTTAACATCTGCATGACCCAGGCTGTGTCAGCTTATCTAAAAGTCTGGTGTAGCAATCCAAGTGGCTGGGTGTCCTGCGTGGGTTCCCCTTCAGGCCTTGGAAATCTCTTTTGGGTTCAGTGGTCCTTTGGATATTCCCCCAAACCTGCTCTTGCTCAGGACAAGTTTGAGGTTTGCTCACCATCCATGCCATGTGCCTTCATTCATTCCTTCTGTGTCCACCATGGTTGGGTCAGCGACACCTTT